ATCTTTTTCTTTTGTACATATTTGATAAATGATCAAATATCAACACCATTTTGATCACATAATAACCTTTCACTGTTTCCCGTTTGTTTGTTCTGTTCTCCACATCTTCATCCAAACAGATAAGTCATCACAGTAGACCACAAGGTGATTGGTTACCAGCACTGTAGTGTAGCCACTGAATCATTGAGCCAAAAATAATTCCTATGCCCTGGAATCACACTTGAATCACACTTGAACTCAGTTACTACCTGTGGCTTGCAGTGATGAGACCAGTACCCTGACTAAACTAGCTTTGAGGGGATGCCATGCTCATGTTGTGCCCTGTGCTTGGCCTTTGATTACAGCCTGGAAAGGGGGGGATTATTGATGCTTCCATTTCTGCTAAGGCTGTAAGACCCTTCCTGACATTTGGGAATTGTAAAATGGTTTTTAAAGGGTAGTGGTCAGAAGTAGATATTGCTTCACAGGCTACACATACTATGTAGTCCCATAGTAAGTAGACAAGGACTACTCTGCTGAATACTGCATAAAGCTCTGGTAGTGCAAAGTAGTACTTTTTGTTTGTTTCAAGTTTCGAGTGGAACTCACAAATCACATTAGACCTTTGCACAGTCCTGTCCTGTCTTGCATTCTGCATATAGATATGATCAGAACCATCACGCCACTAGACCCCCTATCAAAATAGCAGGCTGTTTGTAACTATTTTATCTGGCATATTTTCCTCTTAGCATTGAATTGGATTTATTAAAGCAGTAGTTTCAGTTCAGAAGGTGGCATCGCAAAGCGTTAATGTTAGCACTGATACCGACCTAGCATTCCTTTTCGTTACTGTATTTCAGGACCATCCTTCTCCTTCTCACTCTGGTGGATCTTTACTAAACCTGTTGCAAATTACAAATTATGTATTTAACAAGACTGTAAAAGTCCCTCACATTCTCCTTTAGTGAGCGATGTGATTTACAAACACCCTCTCCCTCCTCAAGCATGTTCTTAACTCGGACGGGATCTCAGATGACTAGCAGCTGCCATGCTGACAGCACTGCTGCAAATTTTACACCAGCTTTCTCCTGATGTTAAATTTCAGCCAAAGTTCCCTCTGTCACAGTGGTGATAAATCAGGTGCTGAGGATTTTGTATAAATGTTCATTCTCTCCTCCCTGATTTCTGCGCCCCTCAGTGGGAATGCCTTAAAATACATACTGCATGAGACCAAACACATATTCCTGCGATGCCAGTTTTCTTCTCTTTCTCCAGTACCAAACCCCACTGTGACTTCTGAGTAAATATGAACACACAGTTTCACTGTTTAGCCCCCAAAACTGAGCCCCAAAACCTCAGTCAATATCCCCTCTGTGTTCTTCTGCAAGTAATGTAAATTCTTTGAGAATTACAGTTTTGACCAAATAAATGCACAAGACAAAGCAAACACCAATATATACAGCATATACTGATTTCTTAGTTAAATTATTTTATTTTAGTGTAACATTGAGAATACACCACATGGATTCTCTTAGGATAATATTAGGATTAAATTTTCATTAATAAAATGTTTGTATTACATCATGCACAGCTGTTTATTTGCACATTGGGCATGGATCTAAACCTACTAATATTGATTTAAGTTTACTGTAATGCTACATTTAATCCAGTTTCACAAATGTTTTGAGCATATGAAAGCCCATATGCTTTCAGTAAATACTGTTTCTTTAGACCAGTCTGTTGTCTGAAGGCCAACCATGCCCTTTGTCTTACCTTTGCCTGCATCCACTTCTATTTATTATTTCATCATACTAACAGCAGGTGTGACAAAATCAAGGCCCTCATAATTTTGTCATTGTTAGCGCTCATGGGAGACAGTGATGTATAAAAATGCCATGAGAAGAGCGACATCGTAGAGGGGGGAAAAAAAGCTGTTTGTGATGACAATTCAAAATGTGTTTTGCTGACAGTTACAGAACAAACAATACCTCTCTTGCTGTTTTATTTGTATTCTAGCTCTGTAATTTGGTGGCATCCCACAGGGTCATTCTCTTTCAAATTTGATTGAGCAAATGGAAGTGGAGAGAAACTAAGGCTGACCTAAAATGTTCAGTTTTCCTCTTTTTTATGTGCAGATGAGCCTTGCCAAAGTCACTCTTGCCTTCTGCCTTTACCCAGGCACTCTGAAACAGTCCACATAGCCAACAGCTTGGCTTTAATGAGCCTGGTTTGATGCTGTCCCCCCAAGAGAATATCCCTCTGCATTAATCCCCTAGTTACATGCTGCTAATGAGTCAATGTATGACAGAATCCAGATTTACTGTGTCAATATTCACCTCAGATTTCTATTGAGCTGGCGGATGTGAATTGGCTAACCTGTTCTAGATGGTTGGCTACTTTGCTCCATTAGTTGAAAAAATACAAGATTAATGAGCTGGTGGAGCTGACACATTGGCTTTGTAGCTGGACAGATTGACTTAGTTTGACTTGACTCTGGATTGTTTGTTCATGGCATACATCTGATGTAATGAGTCTATTACCCTCCCCCAAATAACATTCTGTGGGGGTGGGAAAATAAATAAATAAACCCCAGCTAAATTTGTTATCTATAACAATAGCCCTGCAGTAAAGACTGCCTTTGTGATTACTAATATCGTTTTACATTAGACTGTCAGACAGTTGCTGATTTTTGAGCATGCACTCTGCAGTCTTCTTGTATTAGACAGCATTAAACTGTACAGATGTTTAATTATGTCAAACTGTCTCCTGTAGTGTTGTTTTTTGCCACAACTAAATTACACATCAGATAAACAAATTATTCAAGTTGAAAACCATTTCATCCCAGCAACTCATAATGTGACTCAGAAGTGTGTATGGCCCCTGTGTGCCTGTATACACTCCCAACAACGTCTGCACATGCTCCTGATGATTAAGTGGATGGTGTACTGTCGGATCTCCTCCCAGACCTGGATCAGGGCTTTCAGTGAGTGCCTGGAAAGTCTGTGGTGGTACTTGGTGGTGTTGGATACACAATACAAAATGTCCCATACACATTCAATTGGATTTAGGTCAGGGGAACTTGAGGAGCCGGTCAATGGCATCAATGCCTTCATCTTCCAGGGACTGCCTACTCATTCTGGCCACACGAGGCCAGGCATTGTCCTGCACCAGGAGGGACCCAGAGTCCACTGCACCAGCAAAAGGTCTGACAGTCGCTCTTAGGATTTCATCCTGGTACCTCACAGCTATCAGGGTACTGTTGGCTATGACATGGAGGTCTGTGTGGCCCTCCAAGGATATGCCTCCCCATATCCTTGGTACCTCTCTCACCAAGAGCCTTGGTGAGAGAGGTACAGAAGAACCCAAAGATGACTGTGGCTGAGCTCCAGAGATGCAGTCGGGAGATGGGAGAAAGTTGTAGAAAGTCAACCATCACTGCAGCCCTCCACCAGTCGGGGCTTTATGGCAGAGTGGCCCAACGGAAGCCTCTCCTCAGTGCAAGACACATGAAAGCCCGCATGAAGTTTGCTAAAAAACACC